CCAATATGCATTACTTTTATATATTTTTACTGTCATGCATGTGGGAAATACTAATATTGAACATACTTATCAAATTATACATCCATAAAGGCAAATGTGTGTATGGATTGAAGTAGAGTAAATATCTCACGAATGAGAAAATATAATTTCAAGAAATGACCGAGAACATGATATTGAATATGTATTAAAAATAGGATATTCCCTAGGGTGTTCCTGATGGTGATCTATAAACAAGAACTAAATTTCGGGATGCTGTTGATAATAATTCGATGTTTATAAGCATTATTATCAACATTTACCTATTGTCATTTATTTATATATATATTACCTACAGGAGATATTCAGAAAATACAAGCAATAGACAGAAAATACAAGTAATAATGATTTTATTGAGCAATAACAAGAAAAAAGCCGACGAGACACCCCCTTTCCATACGAGAAAATGAAGTTCACTGGAAAAATTCCAATTTGCGGCCTTTGAATGATTCTTAAAACGAGTGTGCAGTCATAAGCCTCAATTTCACATTTTCCCATGTACAAATATTTGGGTATATGAAATACAATAAAACATACAGTTTAAGTAAACAAACAAACAGGTATTAAAATAATTCGTTCTAACTATATGGGCAGAGGTCGAGGAGAAGCATTTTCATTCAATTTTTGATTACTTTTAATTCTTCGAGAAGAGAATTGTTTAGCCTGAGTCCCAATATGTGCGAAGATTTCTGAGATATCGTCAAATGTACGTTGGGCATATACAAATCATTCTTTGTTCGCGTTTGATAACTGTGTATCGAATTATGTTTCATTGAATTTTCTCGTATATTAGTTAAAACTTCAAGGATATATAACCCAAATAGGGGAAGTAATTTGTATTCTTTTGATAATTCCCTACATGAGGTACCATTAGAAACACTGGCAAGACATAGCACAATTCTTTTCTGCACTATGAAGACTTCATGGGCGGTAGATGAGTGATGAGTTACCCCAAATGGTGATTCCATAAGTCATTTGAGAATGAATTTCTCCGTGGTAAAAGAGTAGGCGCCCTCGCATGTCTAAAATTGATTTGAGAGCTCTCAATTGAAAGCAAAGTATTTGCTGAGGATTTACAATGTAATTTGAATGATAGATGATGATCAAGTCTGACCCCTAAGAAATTAGTGCATTCAAGCCTCTCTATAGTTCCATCATCTATATTAATTTCTACAACAGGAACATTCTTATTATGTATGTTATGAAAAGTTAAGTAATTTGTTTTTCAAACATCTACAAAGTGACAGAATATTATTATCGATTTTGTTTTGATTTTGAGTCTCACTTTTGCCTGTGAACAATAACGTAGAATCATCTGCATATAAGCAGGTGAATGCATTGGCGAGGATCAGATGCAACTCATTATACAGTGTAAACAGAATGGGCCCCAGTACTGATCCCTGACGGCTCCAATTTCGACTGGATGTTCATTAGAAATGACTATCGTTTTCTTATTATTCTCCACATGATTTATTCCCTCGAGGTATGATGAAAATCATTCATGAATTCAAAGTTTCTCAAGTAAAATATCATGCTGGACGCAGTCAAAAGCACGGCTGTGATCGCAGAATATCCCAACCGCACTCTCGCCCGCTTCCAGTGAATCTAGAATGTTTTCATAGAAGCTGTGTATAACTGTGACAGTAGAGTGTGCAGTACGAAAACCGTGCTGATTTTTTATGATTGTCTGAAGCGATTTACACGATCCATGGCATTCTAGATAAAAAAAATTAAATAAAAATATTGACAAGTGGAGTATTGTTGGATTCAAAATGTCCTTCTCGATCAAAATGAGTAAAAATATACAGGGTGTCCCATTTAAAAATTGAAAGTTGGGCTCATTTCCGGACGTACCGGAATTATGGCAAGGCGAGTAAATATGTGAAAGAATGTAAATTGAACTATAATACACAATCCCCAAATTAAGTTTTTCCATCTCCAATAATAAAAAAGTTATAGGGGTGAGCCACCTTGTAAAATCACCCGGTATAAGTTACCATAAATTAGGTTCTCTAAACTCAGACTTAGAAGGTCAATCAAAATGTAGGTTTCTATTTGTAGTGCCGACTTTTAGCGTACCCTACACAGGGTAGAAAAATTACAGTACAAAGTACTAAAATTACTTCAGGTCATAATAATAACAGAATACCAGTTTTCAAGTTTACATTCCTACTGCAAGTTATGGAAAACTTCTAATGTGTGACCTACGTAAAGCACCCCGTATAATTTTTGAAATATTTTTCAGAAGAAGCAACATTGACATGGTATTACCAAAAATATAAAAAATATCGCTTCCCTGGTGGAACAATAATCTGAGAGCATTTTTTTAATAGTATATTACATAACAAGAGTTGTAAAACGCATATTACGCACGAAGTGGAGAGAGTTACACACGATGCCGCATAGCGGCGAGTGTGTAACTCCACAAGTGCGTAATTGCTTTACAACTCGAGAATTGTACTATACTTTTTCTACGACTACACTATATTTTCTTCCGGATAGTGCAGATATTGATGTATTAAGGCACAAATAACGAATACCAATATGACACTTCTCCCGTCACTAAGCCAGCTGCATGGAAAGTTACAAATCACAAATCTTGTGTTTGTTTATTGATACATTGCATACCGAGACATTTTCCTCAATTCGAAATGAAATGAAGCCATTTTTCATATCTAAACAGCTTCATTAATAGGGAGCAAAACACATTGTATAAAAATATATAATCAACATTCATAATGGATATTTATTTGTAACAGTGCAGCACGAGAGATTCTGTAATCGTTATTGAAAATAAAAAAAAAATTCTCCAACTGCGCTCTGATTCATCGACCTTTTGGTTCGGAGCCAGCGCTTCCAACAACTGAGCTACCACCATTTCTCCGTATTAGTAGATATTTTATTCATAATTTCGAAGATTGATCTTTTTTAATTATTCCTGTTATTCAAAGGAAAAGGAATTCATCAATTCAATGTTGAGTATTTTTTTCATTTCTAGCTTTTTCCATTATTTCTGGTGGTGTAGAAATAATCTGCTCATCGTCATCGCTTGATAGTTATTTATGTATTAAGGGAATTATGAGGGCCTTAATTACCGATGGCAAAGTTTGCGTCCCGAGGGCCTCTGGCCCGAGGGACAGCAATTGCCAGAGGTTATTGAGGCTCAGTAATTCCCGTGATACATAGATAATTTTATTTCTGACTGATTTCATTCATTAGATACCTTCCCGATTGGAAGTTAGACATGTTTTTCCGTATAGTTTCAATGTCATCAGAACGTCAGATGATGATCTTGACTACCGCGAATAGGAGATTCCTTATTGCTACGTTATTGCGTGGTTGTTGCTATGCATTTCTTATTTAATTTTAGCTAGAGGGAATTATAGCATCTATAACATCCCAAGGGAGTTATGACCCTCATTATAGATATCGTAACTATGACGATATAAGCTTATAATGTCACTGTCAGAAATAAAATAATATAACTTTCCTGATGCTTTCGGTTTCGGTGGATAGCTGGATTGATTGATAAAAAGATAAGTACCTACCCACCTAGCTAGTGACATTAATGAAATTGTTAATTGTTATTGACACATCGCCTAAGCAACAAAACAAGTCATCTATCAACATGCCTATGAAAACCGTGCGATCGCTCTCTTTACGCACACGTGTGTAAGGAGTAGCTTACTGCCATTGTTTTGTGTACAATATCCATCACTTACAGTAGTAGTCGTAGGAAAAAATTATTTACGTCAGAAGTGTTGAAAAGTAGCAAAGTTGCGGTGAAACAATGTCAGAATTTTAGTATGAATACTTAACGGCGTGAGACTATGGTTAGTTGAAAAAACGACATATTTGACAGATAAGTTGTTACAAAATTAATTGTGCTTTCATCGAAAGCTAGTGGATTAGCGATGTCTGTGGAGTCATTATTGTTCCGAAATATTTGTGTTTGGCAAAGGCGGTAGATTATACAGGGTGTATCTAAATAGCACCGAAAAAATTCAAGGGGAGATTCCTTGTGATTTTCTAGCAAATAAAGTTCACATAAACATGTGTCCTAACTTGCTCCGTTTTTGAGATACAGGATGTTGAAGTTGGAAGTATCAATTGTTTTTATTTATAACCCCCCTGTATAAGCTTTCATGGTGCCAAAATTCAGTATGGTTGGAGACTGAGAAAGTCCCAAAATTTCAAAATGATTCCAATTTGTCTTCTCAATATAGTTTCATTGAAATGAGAACGTGGCATTTCATAATGCTTCAACTAACACCAATGCTTGAAATAGTTATTTACTATACAAGGGAAAAAAGTAGTAGATTTTAGCTCCAGGTTGTGTTGTCTCCCGACGCGTAGCGGAGGGAGACAAAAAACCGTGAATAAAATCTAAAATTTTTTCCGTGTATAATACACTATTTTTTTCTGTGACAGAAGAAAGGACGAATCAATATTGAGAAGATATTACATTATTTTGAAATCTGAAAATTATCGACGTGAAATTTTAAGGTTTTAACAGTAGGGACACCTGCGTTGTAGGCATCTTTATCATTCTTTTGAAGTAATCAAATATCTGATGTCACTTCTGTCAGTCTCATTCTGTGATTTGATTTCAAAAAATTGAGAATTTAGTGGTTGTTTAGTAATATACGTAACCGTGAAGTCGAATGGAAGATAAAAGGACTTTCAGTTCTTTCTGGGAGACGGTATTATTGACTCATTTTTCGGAAGTATAGCACAACAAAAGCCATCAACAGTGCATATATATGTGATATATCCGGGAAAAAAGTAATTTATGAAAAGTGACATTTTATAACCTGCCAACAGAGATGAAATTCCCGTCACAGAAAAAAAAATTAAAATATCAATTTCTCGAAACTTAATAATTTGCACTTATGTCAGCATGTCAATATTCCACCGGGGAAGAAAAATAATGACTGGTTTATATAAACATTGATTTTCCTCACCTGTCAAAACCCAAATACAGACTATGAACACAGAGAGGGAGAAAGAAAACAGTTCAGCTGCTGTGAAGCGGCCACACTTGCCGAAAGATATTTTATTACCATCGGAACAGGGCCCCAAGATGTACTGGCACATCGGCAACAGCAGAAAGGCCAAGGCAACAGTTGCGATTACTGAAAAAAAATCATATACAGTGTGTCTCATTGAGCTATTACATGGCCGACTATGATTAAAATTGGGCATACTTTTATCGAAAAACTAAAATCATGAGCATGTTCTAGAACACATAATTCAATGACTATATCATATACACGGCGTTTTTTATTGGAAATGATCTATTTTCAATGCAAACCATTATTCCTAGAACCCGCACTTAGTAGTTTTTTCTTAACCCTCAACTACTAACGTTACAAAAATATAACGTTGTCACTAACCATACGTCTCACAGACGGGACTATTTAAATGTCCATATAAATCCAAATTTTTTTATTTCATAGAGGAGTATCTAATGTTCAAAATTTTGACATTGATCTATAGAAATATGTACTAAAATAAAATTGAAATACTGAAATTATCGATGATATTATTGTCATTCTGAATACAGTTAGAGTCGTAATAAAATATGGCACAGAACTAAGTCAGAAACATGTAAATTGAAAAAAAAAAATGACAATGCCTGTATATCTGTATAGACGCAATCATACGTATCATAGGCAAAATTGAACTTTTATTGTTACGTAATAACTAGCTATACGTCTACGAGACGGCAATCTATTTTTCACAAGATATTTCTGAAACTGAATCACAAACATAGATCAACTTCAGGGTACTCATTCAGTGTTGGGTGGACATAAATTACGTGGTAAGCCAACAAATCGGATGCTGATATGCCGTCTCTGAGACGTATGATTAGTAGTTAAAGGTTAAGGGCCATATTTTAACCAAAGTGCATTCAAACTATACAGGGTGATCCACAGTGGATGGCCTATTAGAAGTATCTGGAGAACGAAAAGACAGAACATTCTGAAAATTGAGATTCTTCGATAATTGAACATTTTCTATCCGTCTAAAATATTTTCATCAATACAGTGTTGCCACTTCTATCAGAAACAACTAGCAACTTCGTTATTTTAAATGGAGCACCCTGTATTTTATTGCATTTTTAGATTCTTCATGAAGAGCTGATTTCATCAATGCATACTTGTGGTCTAGGAATTATTAGAGAGATATAGGGTGTTCAAAATCTAGAATTTTCAATTTTAGGATTTTTTTGTGTCGAAACTATTCATTATCGATCAAGACGGCTCACATGTCCCTATCTTAACTTTTGATTCACTATCTACTGACATTTAATTGGAACAGATACAGGGTGATCAGAATTCTGAATCTTGAAGCACCCTGTATTTGTTCCAATTAAATTCCAGTAGTTAGTGAATCAAAAGTTAAGATAGGGACATGTAAGTCGTTTCGATCGATAATGAATAGTTTCGACACAAAAAAAATCCTGAAATTAAAAAATCAACCCTATATTATATCTCTGTAATCATTCCTGCTCGACCCCAAGTGTGATACATTGATGAAATCAGCTCTTCAGGAAGAATCTAATAATGCAATAGAATACAGGGTGCTCCATTCAAAATAGCGAAGTTGCTAGTTGTTTCTGATAGAAGTGGCAACACTGTATCGATGAAAATATTTTAGTGGGATAGAGAATGTTCAATTATCAAAGCATCCCAATTTTCAGAATGTTCTGTCTTTTCGTTCTCCAGATACTTCTGATAGGCCATCCACCGTGGACCACCCTGTATACTTATGAGAAGTTTCCTATGTTGAGATTATCATTTTTTCGTGAGGTTCAAGAAGAATTATTCAATACGGTCCGCGAATTTGGAATAAGCCATTCCAAACGTGTTGTAGTGTAGACTTAGGCTGTGCAAAAATATCGATATATCGATACATATCAATATAAAGTGGGATTAAGATTTTAAGGTCAATAATCAAAAAACTACAATTTGTCCTTTTCAAATTCAAAAAACTGAAACATATATTGAATTCGGCTCAATTAAAAATTTTGTATCATGCCCTTGTAGAAAGTCATTTGAACTATGGCATACTCGGATGGGGAGCTATTACAAAAACATATTTGAACCCCCTTGTAATATTGCAGAAGAGATTCATCAGGATATTATTGAATGCAGATTTGAAATACCCATCAGACCAACTCTACTCAGAATCGAAGATTCTAGACGTAAGGCAATTATATTATTACAATATTACCGTTTACTATCATAGAAATAGATCTGACCATATTCTATCGAAACACAATTATAACACACGATCTAAAAGGGAACACCATGTACCATTCATGACGAAATCTATAGGTCAGAGGTCATTCAACTATTTGGCACCCAAGTTATACAATAAAATACCTAAGGAAATAAAAGAAACAAAAACTATATATATTTTCAAATCGAGACTGAAAATTTATATTTCTCAAACACCGAGAAAACTCATACATGATGTAATCGAAAATTGAATTGAATTGAACAATCAAAATGACAATCCAAGATGAGAATCATACTTTCAACACTTGTAAATAATATACATATAGGTATATAGATATATCGTTTATACTATGCCACTAGTTTGATAGTTTCATTTATTTATTTTTATCCGTGTTTCATCCTTTTATCTTCACAATATTATATCTTCATCTAATTTATGAAATATTCACATGAATGTATTGAAAATTTTGATTATTATTTGTCAATGCCATAAACCCAACCTAACCTGCTCATTATTATTATTATTATTATTATATACTATATTTTCATTTTTTTTAGCTCTCTGTAATCATTCTCGAAACAAGTGTTCAGTCACTTTTTGAGTATCGTTTATTCACCTATTAATTGTTTGTTCACTGTCTGTCAGAATACCTACTCTATGTAGATTTATGTACATTTATGTGTGTGAATAAAAAATATTATTATTAACTGAAATGGGTAATAGATCTCACCATTTTGATTAAAAAAAGTTCATATGAACACAAGTTTGATCTCGATCAGAAGCGGAGCTACAGAGGGTCAAATTTTAATTATTTTTTCTATTAATTGAAACATCTCGCTCAATCTTGAAAATATCAATTTGAAATTTGGTGTAGTTCATACTGCCAGGAAAATCATAATTTAAAGCATTTTGAAGGTTTTTAAAATCTACAGGGTGATACGTTTTTGGGGTTAAAGGCATCTTTATACCCCCCAAACTTTTTTGTACTACGCCTCTGACATCTACCAGTTACCAACTAGGATGGATCGTCCAATTTGGAGGCTTTTTTGCCTCCCATTTTTTTCCGAAAAATAAACCGTTTTCGAGATGAATAAGCATATTCGTTCTTAAACATGTTAATTTTTTTCCTATTCTTGGTGAAAAATTCTTTAACGATATTGACAATGACGAATAGTACAAAATATATGTATTGTGGACTGATAGAGCAACATTTACCAGATGTATAGTGGAAAATTAAGATAATTCTTATTTGGCTTAATCATTTATTTCCTAATGTCCCTTTTGGAACGTACATTTCTCCCGACAGGTTGAATGCTACTGATCCAGATTGGACACATGCTTAAAAACATTGCAATTTCAGTACATTTCATTGCATTCTCAACGAATTTTGTCCAAGAATAAAATTCAAGCGAAACATAGGCAAAATCGGGCAAAATTAACATGTTATAGAACGGATACGCTTATTCATCTCGAAAACAGTTCGTTTATAGAGAAGAATCGAAGAGACAAAAACGCCTTCAAATTGAACGATCCACCCTATTTGATTACTGGAAGATGTCAAAGGTGTACTATGAAAAAGTTTGGGGCGGATAAAGAAGCCTCTACCTCCAAAAATGTTTCACCCTGTAGATTTTCATAATCTTTAAAATGCTTCGAATGATGATCTTCTAGAAAGTATGAGCGAGATATTTCAATTGATAATGAAATAATTTTGAGGTCCGCTATTGATGGAAATTGGACCCATGTTTTTATATAAGTTTTCTTGATCAAAATGATGAGATCTATCACCCATATCAGTTTGTACCTTAAAACCTGAATAATCACACAGTATATCGATATATCGATAAATATTGATACCAAATCATACACCGATATCGATATCAAGTTTTCAATATCGCACAGCCCTATTGTAAACTGTACTTTCTCGAACGAGACTTCAGTAATACGACAATAAAGAAGATTAGAAAAACAGTTGAGGTTTGAAAGAATACAAGGTGTTCACTCAATGAAAAAAAACCGACGCCAACTTCACATGAGCACAATAAGTCAATTGACCATTTTCCAAAAGGAATAGACGTTTTTTTGCTATATTTATTAGCAACAGTTACTGTCAAGTAGAGTACCCATTATCCGATTGTCCTTTGTCAATGTCAGTTATGAATGTTATGATATATTTGAAATTCGAATGGTCTGAGCTGGTTTTATTAATGAAACTAGGAATTAAAAATTAAGAATCAACAATGAATGAGTGGAATAAAATGTTAAATAAATAAAAAAAGCTGAAAGTCATTTTCACACAATGTTCATGAAATTAACAACAATGCTGGATTTCGGGAGAAAAACAACTACTTTCCTGGCTAATGCCACGCAGAACATTGAATTACATCATCCCGAAATCGTTTATACGGGTCGATGCATAGATTTCGGAAATGACTTCGAGCTTTTTGTATTTATTTAACATTTCATTCCACTTTGATTACGCCAGTCGGGCAACCAGCCAGTTTTGGACTGTTTCTTTCCTTCTTTCCTACTCAGATGGCGTTTCTTTCATATTGTCTATATGAAAGACGCCTCTGGGGGAATATAATGCCGACTTGATTTTTGTTTGGCTAGGCTACGCTTAGTCGGCGGTCTTGGGACTGCACTGTCAAAGAGCTAATGTTGCCAGTAGTTTTGACATAATCTTCAAAAATGTGTAAAAACATATTTTTCCCAACACCTTGTTCTTCTATCTTGAAGACGAATGCCGTTACGAAATATTTTTACTGAGTAAACCCAACTTTCAGTGTTCTACCTACCCTTGCAGGGGGGGTCACCTTTTTTTGAAACACCCTGTATATACATTTTACTTTATTATTTGGGATTTTCTCTCCTGAGATATATACCAGAAATGTTACTCCATGACCAAGTGGTCATAGAGTGATGTACAGGGTGCGCCTCTTGAAATGGAACCCCCTTAACTCTTTTGTTTTCAGAGATGTAGAAAAATGTTTGATCAAAAAGTTGTTTGAACCGATCCAAACTTTTATTTCGTGAAGTTGCTTCATATACAAGGTCATTCGTTTTCCCGGAAAATAAATTGACTTCGATTTTTTCAATGAAACACCTTGTATATTTTGTGAAATGTCGATAGTGCTTTTTTGTCTGATTTCAAAAATATATTCGAGTTGCATATTTGTATACAAAATAATTGAGTTATTGATGATCAAAGTTTACCAAAATACCGCATCTTCCAGTCAAACTGTCCATTCATATTTTTTTGTATTGAGATTGAACGATTTCAATTTGATAATAAACAATACATGACATTTTCATGGATTTTAAACAATATATATATATATTATTTCTAAGCCCACTATGTTCAACTTATATTAGATGATATAAAGTTAAAGTTCATAAAGGGATATTTTGGTACACTTTGATCATCAGAAATTCAACTATTTTTCATCCAAATATGCAAGTCATATTCGAAATCAGAAAAAAAGGCTCTATCGATATTTCGGATAATATATTGGCTGTTCCATTGAACAAATCAAAGTTCATGTCCTTTTCAGAAAAACGAATGACCCTGTATATAAAACAATTTCACGAAATGAAAGTTGGGGTCGTTTCAACAAACTTTTTCAGCAGAGTCAGTGGATCTACTGACAGTACTGACCAGTTGAATTCGGAATAACAATAGGCTCACAGATTTCAGCACGCTGGTGCCGTCCTATGGAAGGGTGTGTGAATATGCCTCTGGGTACTTTGGAATAGCTTTGGAATGAGTGAGTCAAAAAATAGTAAGAGGATGCAATGACTGCATGGAAGCAGGAGGCCATAATTTTGAACATTTATTGTCATTTCATTACCAGTTGATAATTTTGAAAATATTTCTCACAAAATTTCAAGATCCTATGCATTTTAGGAAGGGTATTGAATATTATGTATTTTTTCTGTTTTCATTAATAATAATGTACAAAGTGCAATACATTTTTGGATAATATCTGAGCATTTTATTTTTCCTTCTGGAGTTCAGAAAACGAAGCAAGATAATAAATGCAAGAGATAAAAATATTGTACTTTTAGTGGGTTTATCTGAATATTTGAGAAGAACCAGAAACAGAAAACACTGGGTGACTTTTCTACAAAAAAGCCGACTTGTTCGACGGGTACGCCCGGGAAATTATGGATCAAATCTCATTGGTCCAGTGAATTTTCGATAATTGTGTAATCTGTACTAGTATTTAAAAGAGGAAAGATTTGTTTGTTTGTATGTATTGAATGGTCTCCGAAACTACTGGACTGATTTGAAAAATGCATTCACCATTAGAAACAGACATTATCCCTGATGAACACAGGCTATTTTTTACCATGGGAAAATGCTTCATTCCTATGGAATAAGGGGTAATAGGACAACAGGTAGTAAGAATTCTCCTTCCATATTTCTCTTTTTCACATAACTTCTAAATGGCTGAACCAACTGGGTTGAAATTTCATAAGGGTATTTTGATGATTTCCTGGGTGATTTAAAAATACAATTGGATGTGATAGGTGGCGCTGATGTCAGTATGTCAACTACTAAACGGCTTGACTGCTTGGGTTGTCATTTTTGATATGTAAAACAAATAAAAAATAAAAAAGATATTTTGTGGAGAAGAAGCTACCCTAGGATTTTGTCACCACAACTCTTAAAACCCCTGTATTTGAAATTATAAAAAGAACTCTAAGGATTAGGAAAATAAAATTCAGGGTGTTCCATTCAAAAAATACAACTCAATGTTTAGGATGCTTTTTTGGATTTTCTAATACTAAATTCTGAATTCCCAAAAAAAATACTCATTTTTGTTTTTGCCCATTTCAACATTTCTGAAAGACCATTAACCTAATAAGACATTTACTAGCTGGATTATCTTTGACTAAGAATATGATGATTCAGCCAATAATGTTCAGAATGGTTCAGATAAAATATCTCTGTTTATTAAGAATCCAGTGTTGAGATAACAAAATTTGAGATAGTCACCTAACATTTCAAAACTGCTTGATATTTTTTATTCATCTTTGGTACACAGTGTAGGTGCTGTGAAAAACAATGTGAAATCAAATCGATCACCATAATTCAAATAGGTGTGAGAGGTTTTCCATAAATCTCATGCAAATCTTAGTTAATACATTTTTTTAAGAATCTCAACTATTTTTATATAAACAAGGTACAGTGCTGTCCAAAAAATTAGTTTTGACTGTGGGTCAAATTCATAAATTCATTGTCAAAGATACACCTGATTATCTCAAACCCTGGCGCAAACCACAATAAGAAATAAGTGATTAAAACAGCAGGAACTGGAATAGATATTAGTCAGGGTGCATACACCAGATTTTCATAGAAGTTGGTAGGAATATTTTGGGCATCACTGTATCTGTTTATCCAGTTAGTATATCCAATATGATTGAGACAGCCTATACAATAATGATCATGTAGGTAATACATGTAATAAATCCTAAATTACTCTTACTCACCAGCTGTGCATATAGCAAATAGCATCTGCATTGAATCAAAAAAGAAGAACATAATCAACAAAGAGACACTAGCAACTAAAGGTAAACATAGTGCCTGCATAGTGTCCAATGTCTGTACATTATTATGACTATCAGTGTCACCAGGAGTGCTAGGTGGAGTATTCAGAAGACAATTCGATGCACTTGTTGCTGCTGCTCTTTCTCTAGCCTCCTGTTCCATGTTGAGGCTTCGAAAGGAACCATAAACTATAAGTAGCATGGATATGAGGAATGTAGATACTCTACTTGAGTCCATAATAGAGTAGGCCCATTGGTATTCAACTGTCTGGCCCTGGCTATCAGCCATTTTGACAGTTATTTGTCACTACTATCTAAAAATAATTTGTGTAATAGCTTATAACCCCATGTGAAATCAGGGCAAATGGATTTAAATTATCTCATGTACTAGTTCTTTAGCAATATTCACAAATTTCAGAGTCTATAGTTTATACCATCATCAAATTTTATTATTTGAATGCAACAGGTACCCTGATTTTAGGATATCAAATGCCAATTTGACCTTACCAGAAAGTATTGAAAACAAAAGCATACCTACCTACCTCCAGGATATGGAAATAACCATGAATATTGTGATGTTCATTCCTTTTTTCTTGGACGAGCCATTAAAATTGAAATATTTTAGCTACGTTTGATAGTTATCTACCGATACTCATAATGTTTTTCAATCATTTAATCATTGTTATTATTGTTACTCGGTGGCCATATTTTGTTTTAGTGTTATCAGTCAACCAGTGTTACCACCTGAGAAGTGTTACCGGTGTTGAAATTAGCGCACTGCTGCCAACATAAAGATCTCAAATATAGCTCGATCCTGAACGAAAATATCATTGAATCAATCAAAGATTCAAAGACCAATGAATCACTACATTTAATTATACACATTCAATGATACCACATTTGATGATTATCCTTCCTCATTTACTAGCATCCGGTCATAACAAACAACAAAGGTCTGATCTGAACGAAACCTAATGAAGCCGACACCCATGGTTCCTTCCTGGCCTAGGACAAACGATTGATTCATTTATGATTTACGCTTTCTTTTATTCGTCTACGCTCGTTTACGACTTTGAAGAGAAGTTCACGACAGTAATAAATTCGAAGGCTGGCAGGCGGCAAAAAGGAGATGTAGTGTTCGAATCATTTTCAAATGCCGAAAAATTTATGGAGATTATTACATCATCCTTTTATAAATACGGCTGGATGAAGATCCTAATAAATATTTCAACTACTCTCGTGTAACATGCCTTCAATTTGATGAACTTATATAAATTTTACTCATCTTGAAAATCTTGAACGATGTCTGTAATTAGTTCCACATCCGAATCATAGATGGCTATGCAAATATAATAACATTCAGTTCTACCAACCTTGTAACGAGCTTGATAAAAGGGCTGTTCTTAGATCATACAGGAAGGGCTGTTATTCTAGTGTCTAAGATGGCGCATGTGAATCTGTGAAGCAAGGTAAGATCATTTCATTCTTCCTGTATCTAAGCCATATATGGTGATCGGTGTGACTTTTTTCTATAACTTGTTGGAAAATGTATGGAATATAAGATATTAATCAATGAGTGGATATTTTTACAACACAGTCAACATGGCATGTGTAAAATTATACACCAAATTACTCAATACATGTTTTGGTTTTGTTACATTCATATGTTTTTTCTACAGAAAACTGTCCATGGAGGTGTAACAGTAGCTGAACTTCTTGAGGAGTTAGGAAAAGGTTTGCCTGATTTCGAATAGTTGAAGGCAGCTATGATGAAAATAGTACACAGCTTCGCGGATGATAGTACCCTCCATACCACATTCTCTTCCAGGGGTCCAATACCAGCCAGGCAAATCAGAAACGACATGAATAATATGGACTTGGCAACAATATCGAATGGGGATCCAACGATTTGGTAGATTTCAATGCAAACAAAACACAAGCATGCCTTTTCTCTAGAAAAGCCGATCTCACTGTGCCCAACATAAGCATGTCAGGACTGTCAGGAGTAACCATATACCTCTGAAGACATCCATTACGATGCTTGGTATTACTATCAGCAATTAGCTTTCTTGGGAAAATCACGTGAGATCAATTGCTAAAAGTGCATCCCAAAAACTTGGTTTTCTGTTTCGGGCCCAGGAGCTATTCCACTTCCAGTCAGCTGCTTATGATCTATAAGGCACAGATCCGACCTGTATTGGAATACTCTTCCCATATTTGGAGTGCAGCACCCAAACATACCCTGAAACTGTTGGATTCTGTCTAAAAAAAGGGCAATTCGTCTCGTGGGGGATGCCTCATCGCTTAAAAACTCACTCACTTCTCTGGAGTACCGTAGAAAAGTTGGCGATCTGGCTCTATTCTATAGATATTTCCATGGACGATGCTCTTCTGAAATATCAACAATTGTTCCTCCCTTGGCAGTTCCCGCGAGATTAACCCGTCGAGTTGAGGCTTCGCACCCCTTCGTGGTCACTTTGGAAACCTGCAGAACATTTCCAAAGACTCGTTTATCCAACAAACAGCGAGGCTCTGGAACACAGTGCCAAGGGAGGCGTTCCCCGAGGCATATAACCTCCAGAAATTCAAGAAGAACAGCAATTCCTACCTTAGTTCCCTTGGTTCTCACGATGTTTTCTGAACATTACAGGATATCCCTTTTCGTGGGAACCAGAATAACATGAAAAAATACACCATTGTCATCATTATGCGGTCGAAATCGAGTTGGCGCTCCGACAGGAGATCGAACAATCGATGAAAACTTTTGATGTAGATAGAAGAGGAGATGAAGAGACCTACGAAGAATTCTAAGAAACTGTTGAAAGAAGTCCGGATGATGGATATTTACCTGATGAACTATATAATGAATCATTGTTGAGGAACAAAGTTGACGTTCAATGGATGGAATATATCCCGTATATATCGAGATAATTGCCTATAATGAAATCACGTTTGTCAGCTGAGAGTTCTGATTGCCTGCCTGAAGAATTTACAATCGATTATTTCTTTAGGTTCCTAAGATTGCATATGTATTGGAAAAGGAATTTGAAAGTTTATATTTTCCCAGATACAATGACGATAAATAGATTCTTCAAGCTAAGAAGCAATTTACACAGCGTCAATAATTTGACTGTTCAAAATGGTAATGATAAATTGTGGAAAGTTCGTCCAATTTTCGATTGTGCTGCGAAAATGCCAACAGATTGAAATTGAAAGGAAAGTTTGTGTAAATGAGTATAAACTATGCCATTTTAATGACGATCTACAATCAAAGAATACTTAAAATCTAAACCGCATCCATGGAGCATAAAACTGTTTTAATTGTGGTAAAAGCGGTCTTACATAAAATTTGATAATTTATCAGGGCAAAACTACCGTGCTGAATGGGTAATTGATGAAAAAGTTTGGACAATGAGCCTCAGTTGTATTACATATCGCTAGTTCATCGGAATCTGGAAAACAAGCAATATATTGTGATAATTTACTTCATGAGTTATCACCTGATCGAACTGATGAACCAAAGGTCACTATACATATAGCAAGTACGCGGTGAGAATAAATAGGTTCCACAAACCCCCATTCGCGCCAGAGAAAGATTTTCAAAAGTACCTATGATATAAGAGGAACATCAGAACAGGTGATTTCTAAAGATGGTTTGGTGGTTGGATAATAAAACAATTGTCTCAGCATCGAATTTTGTTGGAATCGGAGAAACTGATTAGTGAAACGATGGAACAAACAAAGCAAACAGTTTATCGAAGTATTTCGACCTGAGCTGATCAAAAAATATAATACGTCATTGGGAGGAGTTGATATTGCTGAGGCCCTAATATCCTACTATGACACCGAACCTTGCTCGAAGAAGTGGACCATTCCATCCACCATATAAAAAAGTAGTGAGGTCTATAGCTTTTCTCAAAATAGAGTTTTAGCGATCTTTCATACTTACATACAAAGTAAATCTCTGCGTGCAGATGGACAGGAATAGTTTCATTAGTTTCCACCAGAAATAAATAAAACATATTTGTACACATTCTGTAGTCCATTCGATTTGTTGCTTCAATCAATAAAGGATAATTCTGTCTTCAAATGTAAACTTTTTTTCATCCATCCACAAGGAAGATATTTCACAGGAAGGAAGGAATGCTCGAAGTCATTCCTTCCTTCCTATGAAATATTTCACTCCACTTTGAGCAATATGGACTTCTACCAAAGATTAGGAAGATATTTATTCATTAGTAGATACAAACAGGCAGAGCCTAACTAGATGTCAAACAGTTTCCTGGAAAGAAATGGGATTTCTAGAGGAGAACGCAGTATGAAGAGTATTATCGCCTGCAAAACTGTGAATAAGGCAAGTGTTTACTCCCAATAGATCGTTGACATGAAGTAGGAACAATGTTGGTGCCAGAATTGATCCTTGTGCATGGAACGCCGGCATTGATGACAATGGTGTCAGAGGGTACTCCGTCCACCACCACATGGAGCGATCTGCCCGAAAGAAAACTAGATAAAAAATGGCATAGCTGATTTGGTAGACCGTATGATGGTAGTTTGTGGAGCAGTCTTTGGTGTCAAATACAGTCGAATGCCCTCGATATATATCTAACTCTACAGCTAGAGGTTCCTCATGTTTTTTTGATGGAGTTTGCCATTTATGGGTGACTAGGAAAGTTAATTGCCAGTTGATCTTCGATCGGCTGGCGAGTTTTTCCCATTTTTGATGAGCTCAATATTGATGACTTTCTTCACCATTTTGGAGATGACTGATTGCCAATTGCCCTGTTCATTGGCGTATAGTTGTTGGGCAGGCTTTTATTATCTTTTTTGGGTATTGGTTTTCCAGCATGATGGAAAAATACCAGACATAGATGTTAAATGACTTCCAGAGAATCGGTGTCAATAATGATACTTTTTGAGAATAATGGGTGGAATTCCACCAGGACCATTAGACTTATTCGTTTTGAGACTGAGCAGAATGCGTTTGATAGTGCCTTCCCAGCGAGCACAAACATCCCTGGGATGTTTTGGGATGTTTTGAAAATGTTGGCATGAAGATGTTATTTTGAGACGTAATATGCACTGACCAAAGAGGTCTTTGAAGGATATTGAAGTATTGTTTTTGTTCTTCTGTGGCATTTCTTTGTTTGCCTACTGAGAGGTATCCCTGGGATGTTTTGGGATGTTTTAGAAATGTAGGCATGGGGATGTTTTTTTGAAGCGTAATATGCACTTCCCAAAGAGGTCTCAGAAGGATATTGAAAGTATTGTTTTTGTTCTTTTGTGCCC